GATTAACTGCTGAGATAACTCGCTAAGGCAGTTATTGATACGTCCTAAGGTCTTGCCGTGAGTTCCGCGATTAAGCTTAATCGCGCCAAAGTCACGGTCTTACCACAGTTCAAGTAAACCGCTCTCGGGAGGATATTGCAATCGGGTTCCGGTGATTTATTGTGAAGCTAGATTTATTTTTCTCCCCGGCTTCGCGTTTCGCGCTGGTTTATGGAGATGAGGTTACAAGCACTCGCGATTTAGAATTTATTTCCGCGGTCAAATCAATCACGCGCCGCCCGGGATGGGAGTAAATTTATCGTTAAGCTTTTCAAGGTGCGCAAATTAGTCTCCGGGAGGAAGGATTTAATTCCGCATGCCCGTTTATACGCATATTCGCGAGATGCTTTGGTCACAATCGCTCTTTTCGAGTTAATCGCCGCGAGCACGGTGTCACGGTCGGTAACTTGCACGCGATAACGAATTCACACGTGCAGATACCTCGGTACGACGTTTTAAGGATTATAAAATACGAGGCGAGGCTGTAAATAAGCCGCGGATTTCGACGCAAAACGAAGACCTCGGCCGATTATTTACGAACGAGCCCGCTCCGTCCTGCACGGTATTTCCGAGCGAACTGACTCGAAAGTGGGAGTACATCACTCACAAATTTTCATTTCTTTTTTTTTTTTAATACACGAGATTTATTGCAAAACTTTGCAAAAGGTGTAAATTTTATTTTGACGTAACGGCTTCCTGGTGGCTCTTGTATTTTCCTTTTCGTGGATAATCCAACTGTGGGTGGAAGGCTATGAGCTTTCCTTATCCTTTGCTCGGTCCGTCGTTCTTTTTCCTTGTTTGGGAGCCCTCTTCCTGGTCGGCGTCTTCTTCAGTCCGTTACCCGGGTGAAATACCATAATTGGAGAATTAGTCACGACCCGGATGCTGGGACCAAGCGAATGCCCGAAAATACGCTCCGCTAATTTACCGTGGAATTCCTCGGCGGTCCTGTTAATGAAAGTGCGATAAACTCGGATAAACCCCGGTCGGACTGAAAAAGGAAAGTCGGAAGATCCACGATGACTACGCTTCTCGTATCGAACCCTGTCACAGAATCGAATTAAGCAGTCGAATGATTACAGAGAGGAAAACGTAGACCGTTGACGTAGACATCGCCCTCGTGTACCTTGTTAAAAAAGATCATGAAATTCGTCCTCTTTTAGTGCATAAGCTTGCAGGAAAATTATAAATTTAAGAGAGGGTTATCTAAAAAAACATACTCAGATAAGCCCGGGATCAATGTCAAATTTGTTTGCCTGCAGAAAAAATGTTTAAAGTCAAGTATTGTTAAACACGATTTTATAACATATGTTATACATTTATTATACGTAGGTAATAAGTTTTATTTGAAAATATGGTAACAAATTAGTATACCATGTCTGAATGAAACTTCCAACAAAAGTGTTATAAAATTATAATATTCTTTTTGTTAACAGTGTATCGTTTACGACGATCATCGCTGTTGCGCGTTTATGTCCCCTTAGGGTATGAACGAACGAGCGTTTTGTGAATGGCGGTAGTCTTTTCCTGTAATTATCCTTAATTTTCAGAGCAGCGGATCAAACGATCGGTAAGCTATGCCCGACCAACCGGATCTGTTCGATCCGAACCTCGGAAAAATTGTAAAAAGACTCGGCATCCACCGTGTCAATGCTGAGGCAAAATGATAAATGCTCCATGGGCACGAAGGAGCAATTTAAGAATAGCCTTTAATTTCAAGAGCAAACGATTTGCCCGATCCATCCGCTCTTCGGGGATAATCGTAAAATCGCTTGGCATCGGATATCACAATGCAAAGGCAAAACGCGAGATGCCTTTCGGGCGTATAATAAAAGGGGCGATTTCAGACTGGAAATTGGTGCCCCTTTTCGCGAGATGAGCTTCAATTTCTGGAATAACTGATCAAAGATTCGCTCGATTTGTTCGATTCACTTGGTTCGCCCTTAGGAAGAATCGTAAAAGTGCTTGCCATCGGGCATATCAATGCAGAAACGAAACTCAAAGTGCCCGGTAGGCACTTGAATGAAGATTTTAAGACCAGCAATCGGCAATACTCCCTCGGGATAGTCATTAACCCTTTCGGTGATAAGTCCCTTCCACGTATTCTTTCTAGTATGTTAAATATCGGACGCATATACGCGTCCATACCCTGAGAAGAAATAATTACGTAACAGACGTCAAACCCGAAAAGGGACACGTTATACAACAAAGCGAAAGAATATCTTTGTAAATCGTAACTTCACAAACTGTAGTTGCACGTCATATCCTTTTTAGGAAATTCTGCGTATTTTACGGCTCGTGTGGTAACGTTTAGTACCGTTTTTTCTCCGTGTATATCTAAAAGGGTCAATTTTGAGAGCAGGAGACCATCGATCCGAACCATTTGTTCGATCCTCTCGATTCGATCGTCATGTCGGAAGATTGAAAAAAACCTCAATATCGGGCATTTCGGTGCGAAGGCGAAACTCGAAGTGCTCGATGGCTGCATCAATGGCGACTTCGGAACGCGATGGATGACCTTTGGCCCGGGGCGATGGTTAATTTCGAGAGCAGCGGACCAGTCGATCGGATCGATTTATCGAATCCTCCCGATCGGTCGGATCGGTCTGATCGGCACGTCGGAAGGGTCGTAAAAACGCTCGGCATCGGGCATGTCAATGCAAAGGCGAAACGACCTTCCAGTGTCAGCGACCACGAGTGCGTCTTGAGGACAGCGCTTTGCGACACAGTCGGCGAACGTTACGAGACAATACCGAGGATTCTACTCGTACTATCCCATTCTACCCGTACGGGCGCAGATGTAGAAAGCACACAGGCGTCTGCACATGGTGACAGACGCGCATCGCAAGGCGATTGCGTACGTGACAGCCGAAGCTTCCTGTCCGATGTCCCACATAATTTGACGCGGACGTTTCTTCTTCTCTTCTCTGTCGAAGGGAATCGCGCCTCGAAGTGCTCGCCGAACAGTCGGTTATTAAATTCGGTGCACCATTTCGTCGGTAGACTGTTACTTGCAGTACTGGTTGACCCTTTGCGAAGTAAGTAACTCGATGCCGAGCACTCTGTGAAGTTGGGTCGCTGCAACGATAGTCATCGAAATGGCCAGATCACATTCTCGGGTAGATCCGTCGGGCCGTGTCAGGATACCGATTGATTATTTAAAATCGAGATGTTGGAATTATCTGTATGTAGGTTTAGCGTTTTAGCTGAGGGTCCAAAGAGTAAAATAGAAACCCACTATAGACACGTACGAGGGCGTCGGGGTATAATTTTCGTTGAACACCTGTGAGGATTCGTTCGTAGAGAGTCGAGGACCTTGAAAATGGGTACATTAATGAAGAACGAGATAATTAGTTCTACCTCGAATAGGGTAGCTCGAACCTTTTAACGAATCTGCTCACGATGCCGGGAGGTACGACGTCCCATTTATGTCTTGACGTAAGATTAGTCAATGACGAGCGATGACTGGATAGCTACCACTCGAAATCCTTAATAAGTCGCTTCGTTTCCGGTTGCTTTCGTTGGTGATGCAGGTTCCTGGTGCAGTCTTCGTGTGCACTATTTTATATTATTAGGAATTATCGGCATTAATCATGAGAAAGTTTAGATTTTTATACACTTTAGTCCAAATTTTATATGTAATAAACTGTCTGCGGCTGCCCAGGTGCGAGGGTACCTTTTGCCCCCCGCCAGGGACGCCCTGGTTTTGGCGCAAGACTTGTGGATGATGAATGATGACTAAATAGCTGCCATTCGAAATCCTTAATAAGTGGCTTCGTTTCCGGTTGCTTTCGGTGGTGGTGTAGCTTCCTCCCTAGTAGCATAGAATAATTTCTAAATATTTGTTCGTAATGTTTCCTAAATATCTCGAGCGACAGATTTTTTAAGATTTCTTGTAGATTTCATTCGAAGATATCTGAAATATATGTTGGAAGTCTCAATGACATATTTAGTTTCAATAATTTATAAACATATAGAAATTATATTTTTTTAACTTATGAACATATAATAAAAATACATTTCTTTTACTTCACGACTAATATCGGACACTTCATTTGGTATAAAAAAACATACGTCATTTTTCTAATATTTTCGTTCCGCTACTTCATTATGGGAGCAAATCGTATGATTTTGATTTTAAATATTTTTAAAACGTTTATAATGTATTCGGCAGATAATATTTAAAAAATACTTGTATTAATATGAAACGATGTGTTTTGTATATTTGGTAGAAAAATATTATGAAAATATGTGGAGTTAATATTATATAAATATTATAGGGATAATATTCTAAAGTAAACGTTTTGCAAATATTTCAAATGCCTGGTAAATATTTACAAAATGTACGATATTCGTTAAATATATAGAAAATATAGGACAAATATTTTGTGCTACTAGGGCTGGGACAGTATTCTACATACTTAAGGATCACCAGAATTAATGATAAGGAATCGGTAGGGCATGCGAAAATAAATTCTACCGTGAGCAGATGCGAGGGGTAGGGTTTGCGTAGCTCGAACCTTCTAACGAATCTACTCACGATGCAGGGAGGTGCGACGCTCCATTTACGTCGTGACGCAGGCCTTATGAAAGAAGAGCGATGACGAGACTGGTGTCACTGGAAATACTTAATAAGTCATAGCTAACGGAAATGAACGATGACGCCGATGACCGTTATCTCAGACTCTAAGAAATGTATTATTCACGGTCTAATATCTTTAGTCCGGTTCGGAGACATTGAATTTTCCCAGATCTGTGTATACTGGGAGACATCAATGCCCTCCCATCCTGCATAGGCGATGCCGTATCTGCAGAGGAGGCATTCATGTCCGCCGTTGTACGTAGTAAAAACGAACGTCCAAAGACGTTGTCGGGGTCAAAGATGTCCCAGGAACGGATGGGATGCATAATGCAGGTTTTCGCGATAAGAAACGTCGCTACGAGTGTTTCCTGTTTTCCAGGTCTTCCAGCGATCGAGGAATCCACTGACACCGCGGTCAGCCAGAGCATCGAGAATGCCTCTACGGCATCCACTGTGCTCGACATCGTGGACCACTCCACTATTGATATGGTATCAACCACCAAAGCACCCTCGACGTCCGTTGTCTTTGTGAACGTGCCTGCACACACGGAAACCGAGCTGGGATCGTCCGTTCTTCTGGCTTGCAGAACCGCCAGCCCCGTTGCAGAGTGTCAATGGTCCTGGCAACCTCTTCCTCCGACTCATCTCCCGTTGCCGGATATCAGCGAGGATCCATCCTTGACAGCTCGTTAGTTGACTCAGTATCAGCGATATTATCGAATGAATCTAAAGTCTGGATATTTGAATTATCGTAAATCCACCTTGCGATTCGGTCTCTTGCAGTGACGGCGGAATTTTTCAACACCTCCGCGTCTCGTGCTCCTACTACCCAGCCGCTACCTGTAAGACTATTCCCAGCTTTCGGAAATAACAGCAACGACTGTTCCGTGCGATTTTCCAGCACGAAGCACGAGCAGACCGGGTATTGGACCTGCGCGGCTAGAACTTCTATCAACGAACCCTTCACGAGTACGGAACCTGCGAAATTAAGCATCATCAATGACAATAAAGGTGAGTTGATGTTAGATTTATTTCTTATTTATTAGGATCGAGGTGGACTATGTTGTTTGCCCCTGGTCTACGGTCAAAATTCAACGTAAATTATTACAGCTAAATGACTAAGTATTTTCATTTTAATGTACACATTTCTAATTCCTTGTACGTTATGCGAGAGAATGATTGGACGACTCTCTTTTTTCCTATATCGTACTTGTATATTTCCTAGGAATTAATAGGTAGAAAAGTTTAAGGAAGTACGTATTTACACGGAACTAGTATATATAATTGAATTTAAGAATATGCACACGTTGATTTATAAAAATACGTCTCGTAACCGATTGACGATGTTGCTCAGAATTGCCAATTACCTTCGAAAAGTCGGAGTCCACGGTAGAGGCGCCAGCGGGGTCCTCGACACAGATAATGTGTCGGACGAATGATCCCGTTCAAGAATGTCAGTGGTCTTGGCGTCAGTTGAACCAGTCTCAACCGTGGAATCTCGAGGTGAAGAAATTCGCTGCCTTTGGCAACGATAGCACCGACTGCAGTATCAAATTTAAGAACGTCCTTCCGGAGCAAGAGGGTTTCTGGACGTGCGGAGCGAGGATCAATCCCAACTCCTCTTTCGTCCACTCCAGCCCCATTAAATTTCTTATATCTGAAGGTACACCAACTGAATATTTATCACAACGTTACAACTACAGTTCGGGCGTATATTTCTAAATACCTTATCGATTGACCCCCATTTTATCACCTGGTCGCGGTGGAAAGTCCGGATCTTTATTTTAACGTTACAACTGCAGTCACCGGGTCCATTGCTAAATACTGCATAAAATAAAACGGTGGAAACTATTGACCTCCTTTTTCGTCCTTTCGCAGTCGAATTTGTGCAATTATCACGAGGTATCCAGATAGCTGCCGGGGAGACGGTGTTCCTGAGATGCCTGTCCAATAAGCCGGTCGTCCAGTGCGAGTGGTCCTGGAGGCCAACGAATTCCAGCAAGGAGTCGACGGTAGTTAAAAAATTCGAGCCAAGCGAGGATGCCGACCACGACTGCTCGGTCAGATTCAAAAACATTCTTTACGAAGAGGAGGGTCTCTGGACCTGCGGAGTGCGCCTGACCCCAGGAGGAATACTTCACGAGGCACCCCCTGCGACCGTCACCCTTTTACCCTCCGGTAATTAAATTTCTATTACAAAAACACATCTTACCCAATATAATGTAAAATTAAAGACAACCGTTTATTCCATTCTAGCCAAAACCAATTTCGTGGAGGTCCCGGAGGACACTTCGGTTCCGCTCGGTACCGAGGCTCTCCTGAAGTGTGTAACTTCCGGCCGCGTGGACAAGTGCTCCTGGACGTGGAGGCCTCTGACCGGAAGTAACGCCGAGGTGATCGTCCGAGAGTTCCCCAGCGGCGGGGACCTTGGTAGGGATTGCAGCCTGAAGCTCCCTCGAGTCTTCGCCGAGGAACAAGGTCATTGGGGATGTCAAGTGTCCATAACGTCTCTGAACACGATACTGTCTTCGCCGATAGCCAAAGTCACCGTCTTCGAGGAAGGTAAGCTCGTAATTACTCTGTGGCCTGAAACATTTCCGCTATCGCTGTCTTATAAACACACGTTAAACCGATGAACGAACCTTCCAGATGAGGTGAAGTTCTCCGAGCTCTCGCAGGACATACAGATATCCTCCGGTGGCAGCGTCCTCCTGCGATGCGTCACCTCTTCGGCCGTCGAGCAATGCAGGTGGTCCTTGACACCCGTCAACTCCAACACCACGGTCGTGGTGAAACAGTTCCCAGCAGCTGGTACCGAGGCTAGAGACTGCAGTGTACGTCTTAGCCATGCCTTGGCCGAGCAGGAAGGTCTTTGGACCTGCGGTGCTCGACTTCGAAGTCGGCAGAACTACACGGACGCCCCACCTGCGAAGCTCAGCCTGCTGCAACCAGGTATCATTGAGTCCTGAGAAACCGGCTCGTCTACGGACGAGTCTGCTTAGCCTTATCGTTGTTTAAAGTCGTCGGTGTTGGTGGTGGGCTGCCTCATCGGGGTCGTACCTTGAAGACGGTCTCGACCAGGGCGAGGACTTCCTAAACGGGGATCGTGGGAAGGTCGTTCCGTGTCCGTTGTGCAGACTTGTCGGACACTGCCATGGGGATGATGAGACTTTGGAAAAGAAAAGGAAAAGCTTCGTTGGCACTGTGGGAAACTGCGGAGTGCAGCAATGACGTGATTCTGGGAGTGGTTTTGGAAATTGCACGCGGTCGAGGCTCGAAAAGTCTTGTTGATGATAAAAGGGAAAGGTTGTGGTATTTCCTTTTTCAGTCAGGACAAAATGCATACTTCGTTTGATGCCATAGAGATGTTTTAACGAATAAGCTTGATTACGCGTTAACTAATGATATCAAGTACTGTCAGGTACCGGTTAGGCCCAGGACGATATTTAATCAAAGTTTTTCATGACTGGTTTAATTAGCAGCGAGCATGAAAGTATGAAAAATGACGAAAACCTTCTTAATTTGAAGTTTTGATTGACTTAGTAAACTTGCCTCGTCGATGAAATGGAACTGCTTGACAGTAGCAACTGCTTGCTGAACTTTGCCAGACATTGTTCCAAGATTACTTGATAACGGAGGTTCCCAGATCATTGCCATAAGCTATCGTGTTTCCCACATGCTATGCCATTGCAGCTAAACTTTAGAGGAAAAATGGCACCCAGGAACCCTCGTGGGCTTCTAGATGCCATTTACATAGGCTGTACTATAATAAAGTTTGTCCCTATTATCTTATTTATCACTTTCCATTCGTCACTCTATTTATGCTCTGCCTTAAGGACGATCATCTTCCCTCATGTCATCTATCTTTCAGCGCAAAACGAAATGGTCTTCATTAATTTTATTATCGAGTTTAATTAATTTGACATACCAAGTGAGATGATTAAAAGAAGTTTCGTGAAGGTAGCAGTTATAACCGCTGAGATTAAAGATAATGAAACTCATAGCTATACGTACGATCGACAATGGGTATCTAATTCGCGTTATAATACATTCTCCAGCTCAATTGTACCCTCCCTTATTTATATGTTCTACGGTAGTTACGTCGAATCATGATTTTGTACTTAAAGTAGTCATCTTTCGCACGGAACATTATTTTGTGCGATATTTATTTTTACACGTCGATTCCAGTAAAGTAATCGTAGACCGGAAACGAAGGTTTTCCTCGTCGAACAAGACTCTTGCCCGAATGCTTCTCGAAATTAGGCGATTCTTATTATCGACTTCACAGAACATGATTATTACGCAGAAGTGTGACTTCGTCCTCGACGTCAGTATTTGGGTGAGCATTTGCTTCGAAACAAGTATTAACATTATCGCTAGGCGTTTAATTTTGTGATACCAGCGTAGTGGTATAACTCGTGCTACGAATGCGTCCCTTAAATTATAGATTTTAACATTAGATAGTCAATTAATAGTTTTAAGTTTCTAATTTCCTACAGTAAAAAGAAAAAAAAAGGAGGGTGTAAACGGAGACTCCGAGTGTAATAATGGCACTTCTGTATTCGATTCAAGAGAACTCTGTAATTATAAGCTCTCAATGTCTCTTTCTGCTGTGAAAGAAGGAAATGCATATTTTTTTTCTTTTTTTTTAATAGAAGTTTTTATTCAAGCATAGAAGGAACACGCGTTGTTTCGAGTATTATTCTCTTTTTTTTTTCTCATTAATTCAATGCTCAAGATGTAACGAGGTAACAGTGCAGGGTTAACCGCACTCCATGATGTAGTAATCGTCGATTAGCGACAATTAATCGAGACTTATGGTATCGTTAATTATTAGGCGCGAGTTCGGTTTGTCGCTGTCACCAGGTAGAATCCAGGGATCACCTCATTCTTCTGGATTATCACTCGAGTAGGACATGTTCTATGGAACAAGTACAAGTTAAGACTATTATGAATATTTGTAACAACTGTCTCGACCGGGACGCGATGCACCACTCGTTAATGCATGCCGTTTAGAGTGTGGAAGCCGAACTCGTCTTTTGTAAAAAAAAAAAAAAAGAGGAAGAAGAAACTATTTCCGAATAAAGGAAAATGCGAAAACTATGTCCTCCTATTTCGTCACTTCTTTCACCTGTGCACTGTGCTCCCAACATTTTGCTTCTTCCGGGAGTCACTGCAAATGATGCCTTACAAAAGCAAAAAGGGGCCTTTTTAAGGAAACGTAACGTTAAGCCACTCCTACGTAAACATGGAAACATCATATCGAGTGTATTTGTTCAATTTGTAAATGGTTGTACGTAAAGATTCACTACGCACCAACGTGTCCACCCTTGGCCGTATCTTTTCACCACTGTACTCCTGCCCTCTGTCTACATATTTTATAAAAGCACTCTCAGCGACTTGTCGAGATTTATTTTCGTGTGTAATTTATAATGTCGACCTACATCATGTTACATACGCTTGTACAAATTACGGCCTGAGGACTTTACAAGCACTTTTGCTTAGGAATTTGTGGAAGGTCATCATCAGCACTTTTGTGGCCGTGCAGTTCTAACTCTTGATCACCTATGATGGTAATCTTATGTTTTAAAATGACGATTAAAAATCATTAATTCGGGGAAAAGTAATAACGGGCAAGTTATTCCTGTTAGTACTTTTGCTCTTATGGTTATTGATCTCGTGATCTTGGGTTGGGGAACCGCTACACACCTGTACACTGCACAAGCATCATGATTGGGTACCAGTTTCTGTTTGCTTGTTCGATATCCGTATGGAGACGATGTCATCACATCGCTTGGGCCAACTGGAAATGTAGGTAGCACCTGTGATCACGTAGGAGCCAGGTGGACAGCAAAGCTAATTATAGGAAATTGAAATTTTTAGAACCCGCAACAGTCACGCTCTGGGCTATACCCCATCAAAAAGTTACTTTGGCCTGCAGGGTAGGTCATCTGACACCGGAAGTGCAATGTGAATGGCTGCATCCGCCAAATCTCCAAGTGCGGCAAAGCACCTCAAAAAAGTCGAGGTAATTACAGAGAAACCGGTAGTTTTAAATCACTAATTATTTATAACAATCAATAGGTTCAGTGAATACCAGTTAACGATTCAGCTGCAGATATAGTATGTAACAATTATCACTTATTGAACAATTTTACGCATATTGTTGAGTTCGTCAACAGTACGCGTATGCGATGAGTTTAAATGTTTTATATACGTAAAAGGTAAACTTTTTATGGATACATTGTTCTGATTACGAGTATGGTGTGTTTTAGGCACGTTGTGCAAATGAACTATTCTACCGGAATATGTACGTTGCAATTTAAACCCGAAAGTACGGATCTGGGCCACTGGAGCTGCAAATTCACTATCCCTGATGAAAATGGAGAGATTGAATTAGGTAGTTCCTCCATCGTTTTGCTGAATAGTTTAGGGGGTAAGTAATGATAAGTATATGGAGGTATTTTTTAAATAATTTGTAAAATGTGCAAAACACGTATACATTCCAATATACATATTTCACTAAGAAAGTAATAAGTTAGTTTCTTTGAAACTATTTAAAATATGATGGCGAATTTTGAATTTCGGATAATATAATTAACAATAGACTTTTTGTCCGCAGATGAAAAGTTAGGATGGATAGTAGGCGCTTTAACAGCTGTCATTTTACTTCTCATGATCATTGTCGTCGTCTTAGTTGTATGTAAAGCTCGTTTATTTGCCCGAAAAGCTCCTGCTGTCATGAAACCTGTAAGTGAAACTCCAAAACGAAAACGAAACGAACGATTCTGCAACGATCGATACACCGAGCCACCATCCAAGATTCAATTCTGCTTTAACGAGCAAGATTCCGATCAAAATATTTCCACTATAAGTAGCGTAATCCCAAACAGAAGTCCACATTTGTATGAACGAGTAGAATTAAGGAATAATCGTCATGCATCCAAAGTGATGCATGAAAATTATAAAAGATAAATTACAGTAACATAAGTGCAGAAATATATGGTTTAAAATAACAGTATTGTGAATGTATTGGCATAAGATCCGATTAAACCATCGATTGGGTATATGCTAGAGTGTGAGTAAACAACCAATGTTCGAAGATGTGGTCTCTGACCTCTGTTAGTTGAACAGTACACGAGAAGATTGAATTAAAAAATAAATTCCTTTCCAGCTGAACATTTATTTGCCAACCAGAGCTCTCAGGCTTGTGATTAAATCGCATTTTGACGAGTACTGTACATATTTCATAATATTATGGTAATGTTCATTACATGGCTAAACATGACCATGCGTAGATTCTATTTCTTCTAATGTATCGGTACAACCTTATGCTCTAGCTGATGCCAATGCTTCAAGATCCTTAACGCATTGATTAAGTGCAGCCTTCTCCTGATCCGGGGTAATGGATTTTATGACACTCGAGATGATCCAGTTAGCCATGTGCCTTTGAGCTATCCTCCGTTCAACGGACTGAAGTTGAACTTGGTAATCTAAACGCTTCTTTACCTAATTAGCAAAAAAAATTATCCTTGAATTTATTTGCATTTGATAAATTTAAATGCTGTAATTATTTTACTTTTACAATTATCCATAACTCATACCTCTTCATAAACCTTAGCAAGACGCTCTCTATATATTGCTTCTAACTGCAATTTTATATTTAGTTTTTTTGCCTCTAGAAGCAACAATTGACCTTCTGCTTTCCATTGTTCACTTTTTTCAGATTCAATGCTGTCTTCAAGAAATTTAATGTTATTAGTTTTAGCTGATTCCCATTGAGCTTCATAGTCATCAACATTTTTGTCCAAATATTTCGCTATCGTGTCGCCAAATTTCTGGTATACATAAATCCCAATCGTAAGCATAGAAAGTCCAGCATAGAATTCATGTTCAATTACATAGAATTCCTTTGAAACTAGATATGTTGATACTCCGATTGCAAACATGTAAGGTCCTGAAATATAATTATGTTATGCAAATCTGTTAACTGGGGCTTTAAGCCACAAACGCATTCTTTAATGACAAGTTATTTCATAATGCTTGGTTAATACGCTAAAAGTTAAGATTTTTTAAATCATACTTGCAATCAATAGATTTGCAAGTTTGAATACAGTGACAATTTTTATATTACCTGAAACTCCAGTTTTAGGATAAAAGAACGTGAACCATTCATCTGGAATAAAGCCATAACGAACTGGTGAGGGATCTATTAGACGTACTGGACGATTACTTGCAGTGGTTGACAGAGCTTGTGCTCCACGAGCCGCTACAGACAGTGCTTGAACTATAAAACATGTATCTCATTAAATATGTTGCATTGTCCATAACTTTCTAAGGAAAGTAACAAGGAATTATACTAAATTTAAACCTTCCCACCTTGTGCTATGAACCAAGTAATCTTTTTGGCAATCATCTAGTACTACCGTCATATAACAGACATATCATGTAACACATGCAAATGTTATTTGGACCTCTTAAAATTATAACATTAAAATAATGATTGAAATAGTCTTAGAGGGAGCAAAATATTCCGAAAATTCTGTAAAATACATTACATAATGGCATACAGGTGCTCTTGAAAATTGGGTAAGGTATTGAAGCATAAAACGAAGAGAACTTTTAACTAGGTTAGAAATTAACGGCTAAACTCGCATTCGAGGAAAACCGTTAATGTGAGGATATTCGTTCCAAATGTCAATTACCATTACGAAGTGCTAATCTTGACAACATTTTCACGGCACCTCGGTCACTCGGTCGTCCGCAAGGAATGTGTCCGACCCGCAATGGTACCAACTTATATCATGACCAACTTTTTAACTGAAAACAATGAACAGGGCGCTTATTACGTATTTATGACGAGCGCGCTCACTTCTCGCACTTCCATCTCATGTGGGTTTATTCGCCGAATTACGTATTCGCTATATGAAAGAACGAGATCACTAGCACTTCTGGTCTAGTAATATTGCAAATAAAGTGATATACCTTGTAAATCGAACATTGTTGAGAGGTGTGGGTTATAGGCAGGAAAGGAGGGAAGATGGAAAGCCGTTAAAAGTAAAGAAAAGGACTCGAGTCTATTAATATTTTTTAAATATGTATTACATTCATATTACATTCATATTTACATTTACTATAATTAGAAGTTCAACGATATAATTTTCTTATCACGTCATGTAAGCATTTCTTGTTCGCTTCACTATTTCGCTTAAAAATTTGTGTCGAGCCAATTCACATGAATGATCTCGCATTTTCACCACCAAAAACGTTCCGTAATACCTCCAGCTACTCATTTTTCACATTTTCGCTCAATTTGCTTTACGTAATAGACCCCCTCATCTCTGCAATGAATTTAGGTATACCGTGAAACAGAGATGAGTTGGGAGATTGCTCACGGGCAGGGTCGCGCGATCGCACCGTGTGCTACCCTCTGATTTCGTACGTTAGCTTTCACCGTTTTTTGCTCCCAAGGGCGGCGCAACGAATTTCTGGTAGGGGCTCGCGCAATCGTAATGGCTGTGCCATCTACCAGTTGCCGTTGGCGGCTCACGTATTCGTGATGGTAATACCATGCGGCAGTTGACGGTGGTGGCTTACCATTATGGCAATCTCCTAACTCATCTCTGCCAAATCAGAGATGAGTTGAGAGATTCACGGGAAGGATCGAGCGACCGCGTCCTGTTCGATCTCCGGTGGAGGATGCAGACGGCTAATGCACTTGCCACCTGTTACAACTCTGGGCAGCCGGAGAACCGGCTGCAAATGTGAAGAACTCACAAAAACTCCAAAACCCTGTATCTCCTTCGAAAAAAATCTCAGCCACTAGCTCGAGAGATCAATTTAAACCGAACAACCTTCCCCATCAAGCTACTGTGGACGCAGTTCGCATCGCGAAAAAAATTCACAAACATCCTTTAACATATTTTAACATCTTCTACCAACAAGTGCAGCAAGCTCGATTTCGATGAACTGCCCATGATGATTTTACCAAAAATGGCTGCTTCCAGGTGATCCACCTAAACCTGCAAAGGGGCACAAAAGTACAGGTAAAACGGAATATTGAAGAAACACCAGGAAGTCGCCAGATTCTCTGAAGTGGCCCACCTAAAGCTGAAAGGGAACACAAAGGCACAAACGAAACCATTGGGAAAGCGAGAAAGAGACGGTGATACAAGTGCTAATAACTTACTAAAGTTACTATTAAAGTCAAGAATATTTCGATCTCGTATAATTGACCCAGTAAAAATGTATTCAATTATACTTTACTTGGCGTGACAAAAATGTAATAAATATATCTTGCTTAAATGCAGACTCGAGAAAATCTCATGAAAACGATAGTTCACCGTCTCTCCCCGTCAATCCAGACAGAAGGATATACAACACATTAGAGGGACAGCGTGGCGAAAAAAATGGATGACTGTCCATTCGAAAGAATGGAAGGCCATCGTAGTTGCCCTCTTCTTAAGGGGCTGCTTCGGCATATAGCCTCTTCGACACTTGTAGTCTCTTCGGGCAGAGCCCTCTACGTCTCGAACGCTTGACAATCCCCTGATTTTTCGAATTTGAAAAAAAAAAAAATACTCCGCGAACAGATTCAAAAGCTAGCAAAACGACAACCTGCGATCCGAGGATGCGCAGTCCGTACGTATTGCACAATTATCCGGATTCCCAAGCGCGGTCTAATTAATTTGCATCCCTGAAAGAAACTTATCACGATCGCGGGCGTCCGGGAGTACGCTAAGCGAATAATTCACTTTCCAGACTAAAATGAATGACTCGCGGCAATCTAGACGTTTCTTGCCAAAGAAATTTCTCGGCTCCAGTAAAATTATTTCTTTTTTTCTAGTTATTTTTTTTCTCCCAGCGTAGAACCCCGGGCGCAGGACGGACATCCTCCGCGCTTCCGGAAGCGCGAACGATGTAAAAGTATACTATATATTAATACCCAGGTTCGGGATCTCTCCCCAAACCCCAAGGAAGAGATCCCGCCCTGGCCCTGCCTACTTACATCTAGATATTCACTCCAGGCAATTAGCCTACCTCCCTAGCTATATTTAAAAAATCAACCTCACTCATTCCAACACACTCACTCCACGATTCTCTCTCATTCCACCCGGGGACAAATAGCCTAATCTAGGGAGGACATCCCGGGATGCCTCCGACCCCCGAGTTCAAATCTCTCGCGTACATCTTTCGTCGATTGCCATCGTTAATCGAATTTAAAGAAATTAAATGGATAGGTGCAATTGGAATCAAGATGGCAACCGATAGAACTTACACAATTATTTTACCGCGCCCTCTAGCCCTGAACCGTTCGACTCTCTCCTGGAGAAGTCGAAGGGCGGGGGCCAGGAAGGAACGCGGCCACAAGAAAAGACACCTACCGTTGCCGATGCTGAAAGAATCCTAACTAGATTAATTTTTATAGCGCTAAATCGAGCTACGGATTCTACTCGACATCGATAATTCATAATTTTGATAAGATCGAAAGGCCAAGCCCAGCTCGCACTACGGCCCTAGAATAGTGGAAGGCTTGGCCGAAAAAACCTGCAAACCCTGAAACCGACCCCTTCGTCGAGGTGGCGACTCTTGGACGCAGGCACATCGAAGTGCCCCCTCGACTCGGGTGTGGCTCCTCGCGAGATATTTCTCCCACATCTGTTTTAAATTTTTTATTTAGTCATTCGAAGAAATTCCGCGGAACCGGCGGCCTCGAAGTCGGAGGGTCATCCGACTTCCCGGCACTCGATTAAGGATCGCGATCGGAAAATTACCGCGGACCCGGGAGAAATCTATTCCTATTCTAAAAGAACACATGAAAAACGTAGAAAATCAACACGACCACTCGCGAGTCGGCGAGAGATGATCTCGTCGACTCGCGGTCCCTCGAATCAACATGTAAACATACAACCGGCCTCCGTGCCGGTACGGACCTTTTGTCCTGCGGCATGAGGAGACCGGAGGAAGGAAACGTTGAGACTTACCAACGGGACGATTCGTCTTTTTCTGGCGGTACTCCCCCAGGAGATCCCTCCGCAGAGACCTGGGGTTTCTGGCCTCCTCTACATCTGCCTCCCTTCGACGTTGGCTCTGGCTGCATTCCACCTTTGTGTCCGCTTCCGCTGCCTTCGCTGCTTCCACTTTCTAACCATCCCACCTCGTCATCTACGAAGCGTCCCTTGCCCCTCGTTACGATCTCTGGATTCCGTCGATAGAGAATTATAGCACCACGTTGATATAAATGTCGATCGTGGTATGTAATACGTCCCTCGCGCCCCCCGCCATTTTCTTAATTTTCGATGATATCTCATCGCGGCAAATTTTCAGGAGCAACTGGCGATCCGCCGGCCGGGCCGCAATCCCGGCCCGTGACCGACTCCGTGATTGGACAACGTCACCGGCCCAATCACGGTCCATCACCGGCCCGATGATCCTGCCCGTGAGCAATCTCCCAACTCATCTCTGATCTATACTACCAGAGATGAGCAGGTCTCTGATACTACCATCTGACTGTCTTCCAGAAACACCAATCAACGTCGACCATTTATTCTGCATCGAATCGCATTCGTCCTATAGAAGCACTCCGTGCGGATACTCGTGTATGCATGTACAAAAGGAGGAAAGGAATCGGCGACATACGAGAAAATAACCTAAAAACAGTTAGAGTTTGTATTTATTTTTCCGGATAGTTTTTCTAAGAGATTTTACGACAAAAAAAGCAATCCATTGTGTCCATGGCATTTACGTTGAATGACCAGGTTTATACAAAATCATTTACTCCGCGAGAATATCAGGTGAGTGAAAAGGGTTGTTTGACAATCTTTTGTTTACATTCTGGTGCTAAAGGATATTTGAACAAAACAACTCCGTTTTATTACTAATCTTCGACTTCTGTCCACAGGTGGAACTTTTGTATGCGGCCAAAGAAAGGAATATCATTGTTTGTTTGGGAAAAAATTTTGATCAGACTTTCATTGTTATTAAATTGATTCAGGAATTTGTTATAAATAACAGAAGGTAGTTATTTTTAACATTAAATTATAACATCATGCCGTTTTATCAATATTACATTCTTTTATTAATTTCTATAGGCCAATAGCCAATGGTGGTAAACAGATAATATATATCTTAAGAGAAGTAGAAGCATGCAAAGTAAAGGCAAGCTATATTGCACAACTGACAGACCTAAAAGTGTCATTGAACATTTCAAATGAATCAGAGATTCAGCAGGAACTTAACGATGTCCATGTGAGTGTCCATATTTTTCAAAGATTGTTTCATAATTTCTGGATATAGTAACCTATATGATATCCATTACAGGTTTTAGTAACGACATCTGAAATATGTGCAAATTTTCTATCCAAAGGAAGAATTTCACCAAGTCAAGTAAACTTAGTCATAGTTGATCAATGTCACATATCAACATTTGATGACAAGTTGAAATTTATTTTTCAAACTTTTCAGTCCTCTCATAACATTCCTAGACTTATAGGTCTTGCTGTACCGCTATTCAATCTAACACAAGATCCTGGCCGATTAGGATCAGAAGTCGAAAGAATTGAAACCATTTTCAATTGTGAAGTGGAAACCGGTAGTGATATTCTGTCTATTTTAAGGTAAATTGACATTTTTAAGATTTGGCATTAGGAACCTGGGTGGTGTTTCATTTACATACGTACGTATACTAGTACGCATGTATTTGGCACAAACCTTACGAAGTTTTCTGATATTCTAGGCTAGATAATTTGACCTGAGCTATATATAACCCATGACTGAATATAATATATAAACCTGCATATTTTTTTTTTATATCAATTTAGATATAGTCCAAAGCCAAAGGAGTACATAGTAGAATATATCGAAACAGAGCAAGGAAGCTTGTATTTCACGCTGACCAGTTGTGTGGAACATGCCATGGAGTTTTTGAAAGATCACCGTTATGACCCAACAGAGATTTACAACGATGAATTTCTTGAGGATATACAAAAAATTCCTGACCCCAGGGAGAAGCCCTGTGAAATGATGGAAGACTTTTTGTACATATTAAAAACCCTTGGTCCTTGGTGCGCTGATCGAGCTGCATTAGCATTATTAATCTTAACAGAGAAGCTTAAGGTTAAAACTCCGTATGAAAGGCACTACTTATTGTTTAACCTTGTATCATCAGTGTTTATAAAGATACGGTAGAGTAGATTTGTTTAAATATTTTTAACAAAGAATATGAAATAGTGCTTTTAATCAAAATTAATGTTTAACAAAAATGAAAATTTTACACCTAAGAAATCCATGTAAAATTCAATAATAACTGTTATGTATAAATTAATCTATAATTCATTCATGTTTTTCAGAGCTCTTTGTGATCGTGCCTTCGAAGATTTCAATGAAAAGGACAGAATATATCAATTTTCTACACCCAAAGTTCATCGTTTATTACAAGTTCTGAAAACGTACACACCATATTATGCAAAGGATTCAAAGAATATAGAAAATAAGATGAATAATGGTGAGATAACTAGTTGCCAATTAATTATTTCTCATTTAACTCGTCTTATAAATTTATTTTTCAGAATATAATATAAAACACAGCGCCGTTAATTCTGGAAAGGAAGCAAATTCTTTAAAAGAACATATTCCAAACAGAAAGTTGGGGGTTCATTGGAAGACTCATGAGGACGGCTTTAAAAAATCGCCGAAATCATTGCGCCACCTTCGCGGAGTAACAGATCCTGATTTGCTGTGTGGAGTCATTTTTGTTGACAAAGCTTTCACAGCAAAAATTTTGTTTTATTTGTTAAACGTATGTTATCCTACTTGGTGAAGAAATTAGTACTGTTCCATATTTACACATCCTTTTAATGGTTTGGATTGCAAAAGTTACCTCTAAAATGTAGAAGATTTTTATATTAATGTAGAAAATGTATATCCAATCTATAAGGATACCTAGTAATTAATATTTTGTCTTTGTGCCTTATCACAAAATTTTCTAATAACGGGTACTCTGCTCTGACTATATAAAAATTATGAAATTTTTACAGGAAGTGTGTAAATATGACAAAGATTTACATTTCCTGTCACCACTGTATACCATTGAGAAAAGCTCGGAGGACATTTGTTATTCTCAAGATTTGGAGATGGAACATAGGAAACAAGAGGAAGTATTAAAACGATTCAGAATCCATGAGTGCAATTTATTGATTGCGACATCAATTCTAGAAGAAGGTTTGTATTTTATAATAATTATGTTACATGACTTGACCTGACTTCTATTTTGTACAAAATCAGAGGGCGTTGGTGTATCATTTTATGTTTCTTTGTTAAAGGTATTGACATTCCAAAGTGCAACTTTGTGATGAGGTACGACTTTCCAAAAAATTATCAGTCGTATGTGCAGTGCAAAAGTAGAGCTAGAGCTGTAGATGCTTTACATGTACTTTTAGTCCCCCATGAAGTATCAAAGAGCTCTATTTGGCAATTGGCACAATATCATTACATCGAGCAGGTATTATATTCTTGAAAATCTTTAAAAATAATCGCTATGTATAATTAAATTTAAACTTTGTAATACTTTACTTATTTCTTACAATTATTTGAAACCATTTAAAGTAAATTAAAAAATATTCTGTATAAAATTTGAATTCATAATAATGGAGTAAAAGTGCTTTTACGAATTGTGTGACTGAGAATTGATATCTCCAAATCAATTTGTATTTCTGTGAGTTTTATATACGAAAATAATTTTATAGGTTTTGTTGAGGAAAAGTACGAATAAAGAGCCCTCGGAAGAGGAAGAAATTGAAGCTGATAAGTATGCTAACATGATACCTCATTACAAACCCCTTGAATCAGAGGATGCACCCAGCGTTTCTTTTAACTCGGCTATCTCATTAGTAAATAGGTGAGTGATGCGTAATTCTTTTAAGTCGACTAATAAAAAATGTAAACTTCAATAATGCAGGTATTGCGCCAAACTGCCCAGTGATACATTCACAAGATTGACTCCAGAATGGTCAATTGAGCCAACCACTGTAGAGGGTACAAAAATGTTTGTTTGTTCCTTACGTCTTCCCATAAATTCTCCTGTAAAGTATGTCATTTCTGTGAGTATCATTCACAAGCTGCACTATTACTTCAGATTAATAATACAATTAATTTACAACTGTGATTATATCAATGCAGTCATATCCAATGCCAAATAGAGCAATGGCACGACGTTTGGCTGCCTTGCAATTATGTATCGAACTGCACAATGAGAATGAGATCGATGACAATCTTTTACCTATTGGGAAAGAAAATTTCAAAGCCAAGCCCGAAGACGCAGAAGTGCCAGCCTTGCCAGATGAAAGTAAGGCGGATTTGTCCGAAGCTCGTCCTGGGACCACTAAGCGCAGACAATATTATTATAAAAAGGTTATGTCACATTTTAAAACTAGCTTACTAGTGCTTTTTTTTAACAGATGCCTTTAACAGAGAGCATTATTATAAGGAAATATTTTTCATTAGTTTCTACTGTGTAGGAGAATTGAATTCGCTTGTATTTACTTAACAGACCGCCGAGGCTTTGACAGACTGTAGACCTACAGTTGGAGTTCCATCATATTTGTATCATATCAGTATGGTATTAAGTTGTCCGTTACCAGAGGAACAGAACACCAGAGGACGTAGAATATATCCTCCGGAAGAATCCGCTATCGGATTTGGTATTTTGACGTTGAAGAAAATACCTAAGGTAATATCTTGATATCGCAATGATATACATTCTAATGACATCTGAATGCTTATTTTAGATTTGTCCGTTTCCCATCTATACAAGATCTGGTGAAGTGCACGTGCAGCTAAAACTTAGCAAGCAAACTGTCATTTTAGATGCTGTACAGATTGAAAGAGTCGCAGCCTTTCTTAATTATACATTTACAAACGTTTTAAGGCTACAGAAATATCTGATGCTCTTCGATCCAAATGCTTCAGAAAATTCGTATATTATCGTTCCTGTAAAGGCAGGTTCGTTGAATGATTATCTTAACCGATTAGAAATTTAGAATATTATTTATATCCTTAATTTTAAACCCAATTGCCATTTTATGCATATTTAACAATACATTAAAACACTAAATGAAATCTATTTCAGGTACAATGGGAGACGCATCTAACATAACGGTGGACTGGCATTTTTTAGAAATAATTTATGAAAATCGAAATGCCGTACCTCATGAAGTTCTTGAAGAGGACAGAAAGACCTTTAAATTCGATGCTTCAAAGTACCATGACGCAGTTATCATGCCTTGGTACAGAAACCAAGATCAACCCCAGGTAGTAGATTAACATATTTAAATTCAATAGACCAAGTGTGCCTGTTAAAATTGTCCATGAGTATATTCTTAATTCCATTTCATTTTTACTTTATTTTTTTTTTTTGTAATCTAGACCTCTTTAAAGTGGAACTCCCTAATTCTTCATCGTTTCAGTATTTTTACGTAGCCGAAATATGTGCTAACCTGAATCCTAAATCTTCGTTTCCTGGAGCGGATTATAGCACATTTGAAGAATACTATTTAAAAAAGTACAATATACAAATACAAAATCTAACTCAACCATTACTGGACGTAGATCATACGTCTGCTCGGTTGAATTTTCTTACTCCTAGGTGAGTACAAATGTTTTGAGAAAGAACCTTTGAGTTTTATCCATTAAACATTTAATGTAAAATCCGACTTCTAGATATGTAAACCGTAAGGGAGTTGCTTTACCTACTAGCAGTGAAGAGACGAAACGAGCAAAACGCGAAAATCTAGAGCAAAAGCAAATTTTAGTAGCCGAGTTGTGTGCAATTCATCCTTTCCCAGCCTCTTTATGGAGGCAAGCCGTATGCTTGCCGTGCATTCTTTACAGAGTCAATGCTTTGCTTCTTGCTGATCAAATACGTTGTCAGGTTGCAAATGCGATACACTTGGGACAAGAGGAATTAAGTTCCGGTATGTTTCTCAATATTCATTTTTCTATTCTCGACTCGCTCCATTAATTATTTCTAAATTTATTCTCCAATTGCATGGGTCTGTTAAAATTTATTCCTTTTAACTTTACGTTTCCGTCGGTGTTGAAATGTGTCAGGGCAATTCTTAGGTGATCACGAGTTATGTGTCAATGATTCGGACGGTACGATCCAATACCCTAAAAAAACTGTTTTATTCGAGTCGACTGATGGGGAAGGGGGGCACTTCGCCTTAAATGAAGCAAATTTTATCAAACCCAGGCAATAATTTTAGAAATAATGTCCCTCGATAACTTTACATGCTAGTGATGTGGCGAGTCGAGTACTTTAACTCGTTAAACTCGAGTCAAACATGTATTCGAGTCCACCCGAGTCATTTTTATTGTAACTCGAGTTATTGGTACAAACGATTGTGACTTACGAGTGTAAAAGTGAGACCGAGTTACAAGGGTAAGATTGAGACCGATTTACTCGTACCGAGATACCGATCGCGCCTTATTCGCCTTATTTGTCTATTCGAGTAATCGTTATTCGAATTGTTTTACTCTCCGACTCGCCATTGACTCAACTCGTCGCGCCGAATGTATGCGGCACCGATGGCAATAATTTCGAGTTCAAGTAACTCGAATTAGTAAAGTATTCGACTCGTCAGATCACTATAACATGTTATACCAATTGATTTCCTTCATTAAAAAATTTCAGATTTCGAGTGGTCGCCTTTGGATTTTGGTTGGAGCTTGGCAGAGGTTCTGAAAAAGTCCAAAGAAGCCGAAAAAGCAAACGAGGCCAAGAAGGAAGCTTCCAAAATAAACGCCGACTTACAAGCACTGCCAACAAACGGTACCGCTGCGGAACTCGGTAAAAATGATCAAAATAACACAGCTAGTGAATTAAAGAACGGCGATCTATGGACGAATGTGGACCCGGGTCATTTGATCGCTGCTAAGAAGATAACAGAATCGGATGTGAATAAAAATGAAGCCAAACAACCGTTTCGAGAAAACCAAGAAGATAATTGTAACGCCGAACCTGACAGTGATGTGTTAGAAATTGGCACCTGGTCGAACGACATGGCAGCTTCCATGAATTTTGATACGTCCGATTCTACGGCCTTCCCTTTGAACGTTACGGTATTGGAACAAAATTTCAAATGGAACGATATTCGTTATGGGTCTCCTGCGTATGAATCCGACTACGACGCATACGAGTCTGATGATACGTCCAGCGACGGATTCATGGATTACTCGGACGATAGCGAGGAGGAAAGCCGAGGCTTGAAAATTGCCTATATGGGGGAAAACGTGGCTGAGGCCGTGGAGGACGAGAAGCAGATCTGCAAGCGCGAAATCAACAAAAAGATTCTGGATCTGTTAGATCTCGAGAAAAACTCGAAAGAAACCGTTTGGCCTAATGACAATAACGTGGAGAACGAACTGTTAGAGAAGCATAAAGAGGCACATCATAAATTCGCTAAACAAGTGGAGGAGGAAATCGTGAACAGCGGATACTTCATATCGGCGGATAGTGAAGTTACCATCACTAGAAAAAATACGGTCAACAATAAATGCGAAACTGCGCAGAAAAACTTCGTGCAAGAGGAGTACGTCGCTCGCGTTGCGGAGCAATTTAAGAGGAAAGTCCTCAACAAAAAAGCACGACTCTTACCGACGAAAGGGAAACCGAACGCTGCGAGAAGCGGTACTTACGCCAGGGAAGATAACTTCAGTTTTGATTATCAACCCGAATTGGATCAACACCCTGGACCCAGTCCGAGTCTGATTTTGCAAGCTCTGACGATGTCCAATGCGAACGATGGTATCAATCTGGAGCGACTGGAAACCATCGGGGATTCTTTCCTCAAATATGCTATAACTACGTACCTGTATTGCACTTATGACAACATACACGAAGGAAAATTGAGTCACTTGAGGTCGAAACAGGTAAAGGGCACTGCACAAGATTTATCATAGTCTTATGTGATAAAATACAATCCTTTTTCAAAGAATTAAAGTGTCATGAGAATTTCATATATGTATATATATCTGAGAAGTCAATTGTTTATGAAACTTCTCTCCGAAATGGATGTACCGATACGTTTGAAACATTACCACGTAATTATGGAGGCCCTAGGGAAGGTCCCGAAACATATAAAATTTCATTTTTCATCAAAAAAGCGTATCATGGACTAAAATCACCGTCCGTGCACCGGTATCGTCCGTGCGCATTTTTCATGTTTTATGCTTTTTGAACACTTAGAATCGAAAATGAAGAGTTTCAGGGCCAAGCTCGAATAATATAGAATACCATGGTAATTGAATATTACAGAATCAGGTGGAAAAATATGAGAAATGCTTTCACGAATGATTGCAAGAGAATGCGGTTTGTCCCATGGTTGACATGTTTTTGGAGGCAAAATTTAGTTACCCCCAAAAGTCAGACGGCGCCGTTGGTCCAATAGAATATCAAAGATATCTCAGGGAAATTCTCCAGAATTCCGGGGAATTCTTGAGTTTTAATTTAAATCGTAAAAGATACACACATTTTGGCTACTCACAGTAGGATACTCCTTTAATACATGACATCTATGGCTATGTTATAATGTGCTTCTTTATGGTTTTAAACAGAACAAAACTTATACAAGGTGAATTCGTTAAGCCAGACATTGACGAAGTCATTGATTTTATTTCCAGGTGAGCAACCTTAATTTATACCGATTGGGTCGTCGGAAGATGTTGGGAGAGAGCATGATTGCTACGAAATTCGAACCCCATGACAATTGGTTACCCCCATGCTATTATGTGCCAAGAGAATTAGAGCAGGCTCTGATAGAAAGTGGTGTACCGTCCACTCTATGGAATCAGGCTGACATTCCAAGTTTGCAAGCCGTGAATCCAACTGAAATTAACCAATTGGTCCGCGAAACCGAACACAAACTTGGGATCATGAGGATAGAATTGGACAAGAACGAAAGCCGATTGCCGGTCGAGTTCGATAACCTGAGGTGCTTCATCCCTTACAATCTAATTACTCAACACAGCATTCCAGATAAGAGTATAGCGGATTGTGTCGAAGCTCTGATAGGAGCATACTTAATCGCTTGCGGGCCCAGAGGTGCCCTTCTTTTTATGGCTTGGTTGGGAATTCACGTTTTGCCAACGGAAGAAGTCGTCATTGTACAAGAAACCGAACCGAAGGAGAGACCTCCTGGTAGTACGCCCTATATAGAGGGGATTAATGAACACTGCCAGAAGACCTGGTCACAAGTACGAATTACGAATTACGAATTACTTGCAGTCTAATTTTATTTGTCTTTTGTCAGGTGTATGGGGTCATACGATACAATAGCACTTTTTTCACGTTTTAAGGACGGCGGTTTAGAACGGCCAGTTGCGCGGATACACTTTTTCTAAAAATATATCAATTAGAAGAACCTGTTTTTACTGATAGAAGAATTAGGTGTTACACGACAATAAATGGACTATCTTCTCTTTTGTAGATCCAATACGGGAAACTGGAGGAACCGGTAAATCCTTTGCTACGATACGTTCCCGAGCCAGAAGTCGAGCTGGCGAAAATGTTGGACGGTTACGACAAATTGGAGCAAAGTATAGGATATAAATTTCAAGACGCGAGTTATCTTTTGCAAGCGTTCACGCATGCGTCCTACCAGCCTAATAGACTGACTGACTGTTACCAAAGGCTGGAATTTCTTGGTGACGCGGTGTTAGGTAAGTTCGCAAAGTAAAATGCATTTGATACTAATCTAAATCGAGTTTTTCGATTGTAAAGAATAACAAAAATTACCGATCACCCTTTCTGACAGATTATTTAATTACGAGGCATTTATATGAAGACTCTCGGCAACATTCTCCGGGTGCTTTAACCGATTTAAGATCGGCCCTGGTGAACAATACCATATTTGCCTCGCTTGCTGTAAGATGTGGTTTTCATAAATACTTTCGACATCTTTCGCCTGGACTGAGCGTGGTAATTGATCGTTTTGTCAGGATTCAAGAAGAGAATGGTCATTGTATTAGCGAAGAGGTAATAAAGATGAATTGAAGGAAAGGACAATTATCGAGGTGAATACGCTGTAGCACATTTTAATCTCTCTGCTTTCAGTATTATTTAATAGGAGAAGAAGAATGCGAGGAAGCCGAGGACATTGAGGTGCCAAAAGCACTCGGCGATGTTTTCGAGTCGTTGGCTGGTGCAATTTATTTAGATAGCAGAATGTCCCTAGATGCTGTATGGGGAGTTTATTATCGAATAATGAAGTCTGAGATAGGTAATTTATTTCTACGTGTTACAAAAATAATTTTTTTTTTAATTCTTCAATGGTATACAAAGTTAAGGGGATGCGATAGTGGCATTCGAAGAGTCAATTGATCGTGAAACTTTTCTCCGACTGGGTGTACCGAATCGTGTCAAACTTTAAACGCAGATGCGGAGGCTATAAGGAAGATCCTGACACTCAGGAAACTTCATTTTTTACAACAACTTTTAAAAATATCTATGAACAAATTTAAAAAAAATTGAAATTTCATGAAATTACATAATTGTAAAGTTTGAATCGATTTGGTACATCCAATTTCGAGAAAAGTTTCATGAACGACAACTGTTTGGCGCCACTTTCACATCACCTTAACAGGTGTACCAAAAATTCAGTTTTTTGCCGTCAGTCTGTTTATGAAAGAAATATCAAAGAAAATAAATCTTAAAATGTTACGATGACTTTTTTTAAATTAGTTCAACTTTATTTTAATGAATTATTTAATCGTTAAAGATCACGTGTCCGTTGTTAATAGTTAATCTTTTTTCAGAGCAATTTAGTACCAATGTTCCTAAGTCACCGATTCGAGAACTTCTTGAATTGGAACCCGAGACAGCCAAATTTGGAAAGCCTGAAAAATTGGCTGATGGGCGAAGAGTGAGGGTCACGGTAGACGTTTTTGGTAAAGGGTCTTTCAAGGGCATTGGAAGGAATTACAGGATTGCAAAGTGTACGGCTGCCAAGTGCGCCTTGAAGAAATTGAAACGAATACAGGGTTATCAGAGAGAAAAGCTGTGACACGCACGTGAGGTTTAAATAAATGAAAAGCACAATTACTTGATTTAGACTGATTAGTAGTTTCTTGTAACGTGGTACGCTCCATGGTGTGATATTCCAGTTCAGACAGTACCGTTAATAAAAATCGTGGAAAGACACAGATGCAAAAAGCTCATTAACTATATCCAAGTGTCACGCGAAGCAGGGTCAGCACTTCTATAGAGATGATAAGACTTTCGACGTAGCACTCAGAAAATGCTACTCACGCTTCATCGAATGATTTTGCCTTGACACTTGAACGAGGAACAATTATAATGTTTACGTTAGATTGAATTTCAGAGTTTATTCGACACCCCTGCACACGGTAAATTCAGAGATCTAGTCCTATGCTAACAATAAATGTTAAAATTGTTTGGCGTATAAATCAATTGAACTGATGCGTGAAGATTATAAAATAAAATTGCCATTATGATAAATATTCGTACAAAACCAAGTGTTGAAATATTCAATGAAAGATGAATTATTGTAGATAAGGGTAAACTGGAATCATCCTGACACTTCTCGGTACATTTGTAACTTTTTGTATCACTTGAGATGTCAGTAGATGAAATGTATTAAAAACTACATGAGATAGGATAAATGTAATTAATATGAAGTATTCAACTTTTCAAAATTCTATGCTACGTAAAGAATGACGAGCCTAACGGGTTTTTCTAAAATGTCTTCTAAATACGTTACAGTTCATTTATTCCTGTAATTTACTCGTGTGATTAATTTTTTTATAAGCGTTTCTCAGCACTTTATAACTCTTGTGCCATTGAAAGGCACTGGAATTCTGTGAAAATATTCTTGCCATGTGATTTATTAAATTATTATCAACAAATTTATCATTTTATGTCTGAAATTAATATTATTTCAAGAAATAGGTAAATAGCAGAACGGTTATTAAAGAAAGTATTATTAGTAGAACTGTACAGCTTAAGAGACTATTTCAAGTGAAAGATGACAATGATTTGTATTCAACATAACAAAAAACTTTCTCCATTCTTTAATCAATAGGTAAAATTTATGTATACAATATTTGATCACCTTTTCATGTACACATACGTTAGGAGAATCGAATAAATGTCTAAATTCCCGTTTTACCAATTAAAAACCATGATGACAAAGTTCCTCGAATCATTGTTCCTTGAATACAGAATCCGTACAATTACATTTTAATATAATTTAATCATTAATGTACTTCTACTTTCCATTTTCTCTTATAAAGTCGAATTTGTTAGTGATACAATTTCAATTACTTTTATCAAAAAATTATGGAATATGAATATCAAATATAATATATGCAAATTTCCATTCTACAACAAAGTATATTGTTATAAACAATACTTAAAAGATGCTACTACGAAAGAGCATCAGATATATGACAAGAGACATTTCTAATTGACTCTGCTTTTGAACTACAGAATGCATCTTGTTTCTTTCTTATATACAACACATTATCGCAGCTTCAAAACTGCTATAAATATAACTATTGATAATTAAGAAATTGATCTCCTTCACCGGTGAATTCGAAGGCATCATCTAGAAATCAATGACAGTGAAAAGGAAAGACATAAAGAAAGAGCTACTTCAAAACATATCACTCGAATGTACATACACATTACACATCTCATTAGAAATTATAATAACCTTCCCTTTACAATCTCATATATCATCTTGTTTCTAAAGTACGGCATGTCCTCTTGAGTAAACGTTATTTTTTTGTTCCCACAAATATATTCGGCAAACATACAAGAGAACACTCCACAATCACTCCCATTCATTTGCTGTGGAATGTCCTTGACGCATTCCATCTTCCAATCGCTTAAATTGTACGGCTTCTTCTTCTTGTCGAGACTCTCTTCTTTTAGGTACTGCGACAAAGCTAATAAGCACTTTTGATTGCTACCTCCCATACTGTCATAATAATTTATAGTTTTAGCTCTAAAGTCGATGATCGACATGCACCAATGTATTCCAAGGTGAATCGGAACAACGACCAAGTCTTGTGCAAATATGTCTACTTTCCTGGTCCAACGTTTAAGAGAACTGTGGCCTCCGGCCAGAAGTTTTGGATAGAAAAACGTGTTCATAGCATGGACCGTAGGAAACTTATCGCTGCTACCCCTTGCGATAAGTAAATTCATGTAGAAGTTTATAACTTCGTCATTCAGCCAGTTAAGTCCTATCAAGGTGTGAATGTCCTTCCTGGTAATTCTTAGGCCAAATCCTTCGGCGAGTACTTCATTGGACGAACGTAGTGAGACGGCACTTTTTATCTCTTTTAGCATACTATCCGTAAGTTCTGGAAGACTCGGCTCTTCTAATTCCTCTCTGTCATCGATGATAGCTTCGCATAATCGCATGGAGCGAGTCAGTTGTTCTTCTAAAGCTGCCTCTCTTACCAATTGATTGTGTTTACTTAGGATATGGGTCATTTTCTCCAACTCTTTCGCTTCTTTAGAGCGTTGCTCGATGCGTGCATTGTGACGTTTAGCAACTTGTAAAATATAGTCTCCTTTCAGAACCTCTTTACAGGCAAATTGATCTCGAAGTGAGTTGGATGGTGGGAAACAGATATTTGGACTGAGCAGTGACTTAGATTTGCTAGTACCGTCATCTTGCTTCAGTTGTACGTTTGAAAATGAAGTGAATGCTGTATTCTTTGGAGAGTTGATCTTGATGCTGCTCAATATGCTTTTGCTTGAAACATTCAATGGTGTTGATCGAGAATACGTGAATGTCTTCCCGAAATTGGAAGTCCTTTTTTCATTGTGGGAGGGACTCGATTGATGGTATTGTTCTACATCTATTACCTCTATCCGTGAACCAAGTGTTGCATTTTGTTTAAGTCTTGAACCATTAATCCGGTGTGAAGTAAAATTCTGTAACAACTCCCCGTATTGCTTTTTTCCCTGCAATTGATGAGTCTTTAACGAATTCCATTGTTTACTGTTTACAGTCATGTTTGAACAACTAGAATTCTTGTCACCGAAACAATTTAACTTTGCAGGACTCTGCTGATCATATTGAGAAAGATACTCGTTTGATTCCTTTAAAGCAGGTGGCCTAAATGCAGGAAATGAATTCCTACCGCAGCTGGAATCTTTTGTTAAATGTGGTGTACTTGATGGTTTTATTCCTTCTTTGCTACACAGTTGCATCTTGAAATTTTCAGTGTCTGCCTCTAAATCTATGAAAATATCTTCGTCATCCGTGTGGTTGCAACAAGGTCTTTTGGAGCTTCCATACTTGGAATCGGAATCAGACGAGTCACTGACTTTACGTTTTCGAGATCCTTCATCTGCCCAACCTAATATTCTTTTAAAAAATTCAAACAGCCCCATTCTTATTAACCAAATTTAATTTCCACAAAGCATATGTTCTTTTCCGTATTATTATGTCCATTCAGTTTACTTTTTTTTACGGTGCAGCTCATTCTGTACTGCAGACTGCTTCTATCTCCACATGGTATGCCTAGAAAATAAAATTAATATTATTATACAATAAGTTAGAAACTGATTTATTAGCAGACAATAAGTATATTTATGCAACCTATCTTACACCAGTTTTATAATTACTGATGAGAAACATGGCATAAACACCATTTTACACCAATGATACCTGTAAAACCAGAGTAAAGCAGTGTTTACACGACATTTAACATTAGTGGTTATAAGACCGGTAATTATAAAACTGACATAAAGTAACGCATGTAAATGTACTGAATAACAATCGACAAAATATGTTTATGGTATGAAACAGTATAAATTGACATTACCATTGCATTTATTCTTGCTGAATCTCCAGGCCAATGTATTTCTTAAATACTTTTTCTACGAGAAATACAGAACGTATAAGATTTGAGAGATAAAGTTTATAAAACGATTCTCTTGATAATTTTAACAGATTATTGAAAGAATTGCTTCATAAATCAGTTGTGCAAATTTATTGTTGCTCTTCTAGCATTACCTGAAAAATTAAATTAGTCTCATTAAAATATAATGATTGGTGTAAAAACTGATCACTTCTCCTGCCACTATTTCTTAAACATTTAATGAAATGCTTGCTGCAACGTACTATTCTACTTATACCGCTTTCAATCATTACGTGGACTACAATTTTATTTTGAAATAGAAGACTTTTTCAATTTGTGCCTAATGCAGGTACTTTAAAATGTTCACATACGTAGATAAATTCGTTACACCATGAAGTAATTAAATATATATTCTTCCTTTCAAAATCTAACGTGATAAATTGTTTTAACAGGATTTTTGCTTTTTAATAATCATCAATAAAGAAAAAAAATGTCTCCACTACAAACCTAACCTCTATGGTTTCAAAACCTCTACTTACACAGTTGGTCAATGAGTAAATAATTACTTAGCAAATGAAATAAAGATTTATGAATTTGACATGTCTAACGGTAATTCATAATATGCTATATTAATTTGAAAGTCTGCATCATTTCGTTTGATTTCGTTTACCCTTGTACGCGGTATAATTTGGACAATTACTGAGTCTACACCGTCGGTATTTATTAAACACCGGTTTGGATTAATCCAACTTTGGATCAGAGACTCATCTCTGTTTGGATATATTTTCATTATGGTTTTATTTAATACCGATCTAACTAGAGGTGGTATAGACGCATCCAAGGTCGGATTTATCCAATCCGATATTAAATAAATACCGACAGTGGAGAGTTAAATTCGGTTCCACATTCGACTTAACCGAAGTTTAACTGGTTTATGCCTGGGTTCAACCTACCGTAAAACAGTTAAACTTCGGTTGATTTGAGTTGTGGAACCGGACCTTATAGTGTTTTCAGTTGAACCAGGATAGGTATAATACGTTGTGTAATATACCTGGCTTTCTAACGCATTCTTACGTATATTACAACGTACAAGCGAAAGGGAAAAAGAATGCCAAGAATTTAAAGAACGATAACAGTAAGAAGGCTAAACAAACTACACTCACTAATTTCTTTAAAAAATCTTGAGGGAAATTTGATCATTCCTTAAATGTCTTTTTTGCACCAAATAAATCTTTTAATAATTTTACTGATACTTTTCGTATCATTAAGTAGGAAAAAATCCATTTAAATGTAGAATCGATAAAATATAATCGAAATGACCGTCCGTCGTCTTTTCTCCGTCAATCCTGACAAAGAATGACATAGAGAAAAATAGGAGGGACAACGTGGCCAAAAAATGGATGGTTGTTCATTAACAGAAGGCCATCTTCTTAAGGGGCCGCTTTGGCATGTAGCCTCTTCGACTGTCTTCGACTCTTGCAGTCTCTTCGGGCAGAACCCCCTACGTCTCAAATGCTCGAATAATTCCTAGATGCTCACGAGTCATGTGTCAAAGTTCAGACGGTTCGATCCAATACCCTTAAAAAAAGTGTCTTATTCGAATTGACTGATTGGGGAGGAGTTCTAATTCAACTTAACAGGATAAGAATGTGTGGAAGTCATGGACATTTAAGTCAAATTTATGTATATAATATTTGACAACCTTCTTGTACATCTACTTTAGTAGAAACAAATAAATGTCTGAATTGTTTTACAAATTACAAATAAAAAAAAATTCCTGAAATTATTACTTTTTGAATTCAATATTCGATGCATCGCTTTTTAATGCGACAATTCATGTGTAGATTCTCTTGCATGACATCGGCTTTGCATACAATGTGGAAGTTGCGATACAATTTCAGTAACATTTATAAAAAGAAAATTGTAGAACAAGAATATCAAATATAATGTAGACAAATTTCCATTTGGTAATAAATTACATTGTTGTAAACAATCGAGAGATGCTAGTACGAAACAACATCGGTCATATGACAACACACGTTGTTAGTCAATTCTGTATTTCAACTACAGAATGTATCTGGTTTCTTTGTTATATACAACACATCATCGCAGCCCAAAAACTGCTATAAATACGACTATCAATAATTCTGGAATTGTTTCCAGAATTACCGATACTCTCACCAAACCGAAAGGAGTCTAGAAATCGATAACAGTGAAAAGAGAAGCAAGAGTAAAGATAGTCACTTACACGCCTCTAAAGCATGCCATTTGAATGCGCATATCCACATTTATACATATGTACGGCGTACGCATATGCATATATGGAACAAGTACACGCACAAAGCATCTCATTAGAAATTATAATAACCTTCCCTTTACAATCTCATATATCATCTTGTTTCTGAAGTAGGGCATGTCCTCTTGGGTAAATGTTATTTTTTTGTTCCCACAAATATATTCGGCAAACATACAAGAGAACACTCCACAGTCACTCCCATTCATTTGCTGTGGAATGTCCTTGACACATTCCATCTTCCAATCGCTTAAATCGTACGGTTTCTTCTTCTTGTCGAGACTCTCTTCTTTTAGGTACTGCGATAAAGCTGATAAGCACTTTTGATTGCTACCTCCCATACTGTCGTAATAATTTATAGTTTTAGCTCTAAAGTCGATGATCGACATGCACCAATGTATTCCAAGGTGAATCGGAACAACGACCAAGTCTTGGGCAAATATGTCTACTTTCCTGGTCCAACGTTTAAGAGAATTGTGGCCTCCGGCCAGAAGTTTTGGATAGAAAAACGTGTTCATAGCATGGACCATAGGAAACTTGTTGCTGCCGCCCCTTGCGATAAGTAGGTTCATGTAGAAGTTTATAACTTCGTCGTTCAGCCAGTTAAGTCCTATCAAGGTATGAATGTCCTTCCTGGTAATTCTTAGGCCAAAACCCTCGGCAAGTACTTCATTGGGCGAACGTGGGGAGACGGCACTTTTTATCTCTTTTAACATACTATCCGTAAGTTCTGGAAGACTCGACTCTTCTAATTCTTCTCTGTCATCGAGGATGGCTTCGCATAATCGCATGGAGCGAGTCAGTTGTTCTTCTAAAGCTGCCTCTCTTGCCAATTGATTGTGTTTACTCAGGACATGGGTCATTTTCTCTAACTCTTTCGCTTCTTTAGAGCGTTGCTCGATGCGTGCATTGTGACGCTTAGCAACTTGTAAAATAAAATCTTCTTTCAAAACTTCTTTACAGGCAAGTTTGTCTCGGAGTGAGTTGGATGGTGAGAAGTAGGTATTTGTGCTGTGCTGTGACTTAAATTTGCTAATACCGTCATCTTGCTTCGATTGTACTTTTGAAAATGGTGAAGTTAGAGCCGTGTTCTTTGGAATGCTGGTCTTGACACTGCTAGATATCCCTTTGCTTGAAGCATTTGACGAGGATAATCGAGAATATGTGAATGTATTGCTGAGATTGGAATTCTTCCTTTCGGTATGCGAGGAACTTAATTCATGGTACTTTTCTAGATCTATTATCTCTACCCGCGAATCAAGTGCTGTATTTCGTTCGTTATGTTTAATTCTTGGACTATTGATTCGGTGGGAAGCAAAATTCTGTAACAGCTCCCCATATTGCTTCCTTTCCTGCAATTGATGAGTTTTAGACGAAATCAATTGTTTACTATTTACAGCCATGTTTGAAAAGGTAAAATTTTTATCATCATAGCAATTCAATTTTGCATCATTTTGATTGTCAAAATGCAGATGGTACTTATTTGACTCCCTTAATGCAGGAAATGAATTTTTGCTACAGCCAGCGCCATTCGTTAAATGCGGTTTACTTGATGGTTTCATTTCTTTTTTACTGCACAGCTGTATGTTCAAATTTTCTCTATCTACTGCAAAATCCAGCAAAATCTCTTTGTTATCCACGTGGCTGCAGCAAGGTCTTTTTGTGCTTCCATACTTGTAATCAGAATCGAATGAATTACTAACTTTACGCTTTCGAGACCCTTCATCTGCCCAACCTAATATTCTTTTAAAAAATTCAAATAACACCATTCTTATTAACAAAGTTTAATCTCCTCAAAGCAAGTGTCCTTTTTCGTGCTAATGATTCCATTCAGTTTACGATTTTTTTACCATGCAGCTCATTCTGTATCAACCACTGCAATTACCTCCAAATGCTATGCCTGGAAAATAAAATCAGTATTAGGCAATGAGAAATAAATTGATTTAATAGCAGTACTATTAGTAGCAGTAACTAATAAAATTATTTTTTTTAATATAATTAAATATTTATAATTAAATATTTATTATTAAATATAATTAAATATTTAGTAGCAGTAACTAATAAAATTATTTTTTTTAATATAATTAAATATTTATAATTAAATATTTATTATTAAATATAATTAAATATTTAGTAGCAGTAACTAATAAAATATGTTCATACTATTAAAAAGTATAAATTAATGTTACCATTGCATTTTTTCTTGCCACACCATCACACTAATATATTGTGTACATACACTTTCCAAGTGAGAAACAAATTGTATAAAATTCAAAAAGTAAGATTATATAACAAGTTTCTTGACAATTTTGACAGATTATTCAAAGAATAATTTCATAAATCAACTGTACAAGTATATTGTTGCTCGTCTGATGTGTTATCTGAAAAATGAAAGAAATTTGGCCTTCACAAAACATGAAATGTCACTGTCGTGTTAAAAAACTTTACTCGCTCCTGTTACTATTTCTTAAACGTTTAAAGAAATGTTAGCTGTAACTTGTTACTTTACTTATAAAGCTTTCAATTGTTTCGTAGACTGCATTTTTAATTTAAAATGTCGAAACTAATTTGCGCTTAACACAAGTACTTTAAAATGTTCACATCTTCAGATAAATTCATTCCACCAAGAGGAATGTAAATACCTATTCTTTCTTGCAAAACCTAATGTGATAAATTGTTTTAACAAGGTTCCTAACAATCACCGATAACGAATGAAATTTCTATATTTCAAACCTAACCTCTATGGCTACAAAACGTTCAAACTTACACAATTGGTCAATGCATAAATAATTTTTCAGCAAAACGAAGTAAAGTTTTATCAATTTAACGCCTCTAGCGTTAATTCGGAGTACACTATGTCAAGTCTATGTCGTATGTTTGACATTCATTTCGTTTACCCTTAAACGCGGCACAATTTTGACAGAACGAAATTATCAGCGTCCTCGCGCGAATATTTTTGGTCGGATTGTTTGTTTTTGTTTTTGACTTTCAGTCCGATAAGTTCGGGCTCAATATGATTGGTTTTCTGATTCTCTCTGGATTCTTTTTTTCGAGTCAACACTACGCGGTGTTCCCCAGGAAGATAAAGCCAAGCCAAGAATTCTGGTGGAACGCACGACTTTCTTTAAACCTGGTTTACTAACTAATGCCCGGTTCCACCAACCTCGGTTAAATAATTAATTACCTAACTGTAGGTTTAGTATCAAGATTATATCTTAGACAGAGATGAGTTGGGAGATTGCTCACGGGCAAGGTCGCGCGATCGCACCGTGTGCTGCCCTCTGATTTCGTACGTTAGCTTTCACCGTTTTTTGCCCCCAAGGGCG